TATTTCTGAGAGGATTTTAGGGCTAGGAAATGTCCGCCGCGCTGCCCCAATACGTGTTCGAAATATTTTTTCTTATTTCTCAGACATGCAGGTTTCCTCAACATGTTTTCCTTCACCGCCGAGCACGTGGTAAATCAGCACTCACAATTGCAATTAAAATTTTAATTGGCGCCGGCGGAGAACGAACCCGGGTTGCTCGCGTACTGTGAAATTTACAGCGAGCGCTTTGCCCCTGAGCTACAACGGCTTTGTGGTTTAAATAATACCTTAAATCTTTAAATTTAGAAAAACCCTTGAAATATATTCCATTTAAAATAAAAAGATCATTTTAATGGGTTCAGGAGTTTCCAAGAAATCAGTGGATATACATAAAAAAACATGCGCGTCGATTGTCGTGTTTGAAACTCTGCTAAAAAGAATGAAATCAATTTTATTATATAAAATATGCGATATTAAACAATTTGTTGTAATCCTTGTAAAATTATGCTTTTTTTTAAAGATAAGGGTGACAAAAATGCAGATGCGTTGTCACTCGCGAGGATAAAGATGGAATACCTCGTTTCCATTAAAAAGGGTCTCCGGTTCTCTACACTCACCATACGAAACACAGCAGCGTTAAGCTGCTATTTTACGTTGGTATTCTGAGAGAGCGTGGTCCTTCCCCGGTCGAGCCGACCCATTCGTGCTACAACTATACCAGTAATACAGCTGCAGCATGGCTATACCACGTTAAAAACGCTTACTTTATATTATCTCATATATAGGCTTTTTGATTTGTATGAATATGACTATGACATAGTAATGCAGTTATTTTTGTTTAAATTTACAAGTTATTTATTTTCTTTTAGCGGAAATTAATGGGGCTGTAACTAGATATACGAAATGTATGGAGTGCACAATGTCAGCCGTCAGGCTGTTATTTATTTATTATTTGTATATGCTGTTATTATTTGGTGTAATGTACCTAATAAGAAGTATGTGCCTAATTTCAGCGGCGTAATATAAATCAGGGCTGTCATAAACTGGAATAAATACCATTAATTAGATCATAACTTATTTTATACCTAAGGGAGTTATGATCAATTCGGCTGTTTTAAAATTGGTTTTAGATTTTAAAGTTTAGCAAAAGATGTACTAGCTTTTCTCTCTGACATTCGATGTATATTAAGAACACCTTATGTAACTATTCAATTATTTTTTGAGAAAGAAGAAAAAACAAGCAATAAATATAGTATATACAAGCAAAAACCATAACTTAGTAATACTAATTATAACTTGAAAATAGATGAAAAACTCATGACAAGGAATGTGGTTTAGGACCAGGCTTTGCGGCAGTCTATCTAGGAGGATGGTCAGTAGTGGACTTGTGTAAGGTTGTAATGACGATGATGATTAGAAAACTTGGATGATTAAACTATTAGAAATCGATGTACTACATAATATTTTATCATAATTTTTAACTAAGTAGAATACGATGATTTTTAACTAAGTAGAATACGATTACATTTCTTTAAATCGTATTTCGTGTTTTTTTTTGTTGTTTACTCTATCTACCTATTTCTTACGAGACAAGCATCGCGTTTCCCGACAAATGGCCTTGCAAGTTGCATGCGTTGGGCATCACAGAACTCACATAGTAGCGGAAATATGGTCGATCATAGTCAGAATAGGTAACTTTACCTAAGTAACTTACCATTTCACAATGTATTTTTTACTCTTTATTAACAGCCCATAGTAACTACGGAAAGTAATATGGACACGCGCGCAGCGATAAGGTTTTATTTAGCTTTCGTGCGCGATTTATCTGATTAATAATAATTATGTAGGCTATTAAAACGTCGGCAAGCAGTCAACATCAAAGAAGTGCAACTTCTGTACGCAGTACTATTATTTATTCCGTACCTTAAGCGCGAAGTGCGTAGGTATGTTCTACTAGCGCCTAAAAATTAAGATTCCAACGTTTTGTCGCATGAAATCGTATCTAACAAGTTACAGGGGGGGGGACACATTTTTCCATTTTAGAAGTGTCTCTCGCGCAAACTATTCAGTTTAGAAAAAAATGATATACCAAACCTCAATATCATTTTTGAAGACCTATCCATAGATACCCCACATGTTTGATGAAAAAATGGTTTTTGAGTTTCAGTTCTTAGTATGGGGAACCCCCAAAATTTATTGTTTTTTTTCTATTTTTGTGTGAAAATCATAATGCGGTTCACTGAATACATCTACATACCAATTTTCAACACCATAGTTCTTACAGTTTCGAAAAAAAGTGGGTGTGACATACGGACGGACAGACAGTCAGTCATTACGAATCTATAAGGGTTCCATTTTTTGCCATTTGGCTATGAAACCCTAAAAAGTACATTGTCAGAAAGATAAATGATTGTTGAACTTTTTTTTTTTTTCAAATCGCTATTTTTACATAAAAAGAGTGGTTTTAGTTGGCTTATATGGCAGGTACTTATGGCAGGTATTCAGATTTTTTAATTATTTTTGTTTTTCAGGCTAGCAAAAAATATCAAATGAGTAAACAGGTGGATGTAGAGAATGTAAAATTATTGGGTGATGTACAACGGGACGAACTTTCCTCAAAGCCAGATGCATGTTTAGATGTCAGTGGATTATCATCATTCTTAAACATATCTGGGCTATCAGAAAATATACCTACCATGTCAGATGCTTCTAGTATGTTACGAGATATTGAATCTCAAGTTCATAACCAGGTAAATTATGAACCACTTTTTATTACACTTTATTTTACCTACATTACAACGTACGATTTTCTTATTCATCTTTATCGTTCATTTGTATAATCCTTTCAGATTACCGAAACTGAAACCAACCCGGAAGAAAAAGACTTTTCACCGAGTGATTCCCAACTCTGCTTACATCAGTGACGATGATACTGTAAGAATATTACTTTCACCTACATACCTTAAATTATAGTTTCATAAAGTTCATTAGGTATTTGTCTACAGCTTACCTATATACATACAGACATAGAAAGTCAAGTGCAGAACACTTTGTTTAAATAGTTGTAATCGTGTAAAAATATAAGTTGAAAGTGACAACCTTGGTTGTAACAAAACATGGCAAAGTAACCGTCACATCGTGGCATCACTAGTATGGTAACTTTGCCAAGTTAGTTTTATTGATAAATGTTAAGACCAACATGTTATAAACGATATATTACATTAGATAACCACTAATATTACGTTACTACAAAGATATAGATACCTACATTCAGTATTTCAAACAAAAAAAACTAAAGTTCTGGAGCACTGAACAAAGAGGTCATTTCGCCGGCACAATTCCGCGTTAAAATAAAATGCCAAAATTAACTCTCATGTTGCCATATCGAAAGCAATGCTGTCAATTAGTTATTGTATTTTCATCCAAAACATGGCTTATCTCGAAAAACGTTACGTTTTCCGTGTTAATCGTAATTATGTACCAGTACACCCCTGATGGCAAAGTTAACATCCATTGGTAAAGTTGCCAGACCTGACTGTACTGTAAAATGTCTTAAATATTTTGAAATTTTTAAATAATTCCTTTATCCATCTATTTTATCAGATCCAAATTAAATAATATGTTTATCCTTATAACCATTTCAGAGCATAGAGGATGAGTACTATGATGACCAGTTAGTTTACATTCAGAAAAACATGAGCAGTAACACGATAAGTAGTAAAAAACTCTCTAACAAGATACAATGTAATGAATATGAAGTAGTGGCACCGGAATTGCAGAGAGAAGGCCATGAAGTTATGTCAGCGGAAATAAAGACACAAAGTCCTGAAGGAGTGTCACCAGAAATACAGAAAGACAGTTGTGAACAAAGACATGATTACAAGAAAATGGGTAAACGTAGATGGGATAGAAGAAATGCTTGTTTTTATTGTCAAGAACATGTAACTAACTTTTCAAAACACCTTTTAAGAAGACATCCAAACGAAATAGAAGTAATTCAATACAAATCTATTAACGATGTAGATCTAAAAACAAGAAAGCAAAAGAGGCAAGAAATAACGGACAAATTAAGAAACAATGGAAACTTTATACACAATTCGAAAGTTTGTTTTGATAGAGACGGAGAGAAAACTATATTACCAGTTAAAAGAAACACCCAAGAATTAAGTCCATCAGCTTTTGTGACATGCAAGCTGTGTTTAGGCACATTCAGAAGGACAACGTTTTTCAGACATTTCAAGAAGTGCGGTGTCGGTGCTAATGATTGTCAAACTCCGGGTTGCAGAAGAAGAGTTTTGTACAATAACAGTATCACTATTATACCTAATATTCAGTCGGCGAGTATTGAACTCAGAGATAAAATTTTGCCTCATCTTCGTTCAGATCAAATTTCTCTTGTTGTGAAAAATGATCCATTGATTCTTGCATACGGCTCAAGACTACTTAAAAAGAAAAAAGAAAGGCGAAGCCGAAAAGCGATATGTTCTAAAATGAGAGACTTGGCTACTTTGTTAATTGTACTTCGTAAAAAAGACCACAGTATTGAAACACTAACAGATGCTTTAGATCCTGAAAAATATGATATCTTTATCGATGGCATCAAAAGCATATGTGGGTTCGATGAAGAAACGGGCTTCGTCAAAGTTACAAGTATTCCAGCTCGGATGCGGCCAGCTATTTTGGGATGTATTGATATACTCTATACGGAGTCTATTATGTCAACGGAATCAACAACTTACAAAGATGCATATAAAAAAAAGTTGGATGACTTCAAGCGTCTCGTTGAAATTAACTGGCAATTAACATTAAATAAAAATTAATGAAATTTCGTCAAATGCAGAGAAAACTAGAAAGCGGAAAAATATGACCAAAGAAAATATAATTCCATTAGAAGAAGACATTGCAACAGTCATGGAAAAAGTACATAAATTAGAGGCTAAGTATGAGCAAAGATTGAAGAAATAATGAAAAAATGAAGAAATAGAAAAAATGAAGAAATTCCAGAAAGTATTTTAGAAACCCTGACACCTCAACAAAGAAAATCTATCGGTGAACTAGACGTATTTCAAATTCCTGGTAAAAGAACACGTTCCGTGCCAATTTTGCTAACAAAAATGATGCGAGAAAACATCTATTTGATAATAGCTTGTCGTGAAGATCTGAACATTCCGAGCTCTAATCGATATTTATTTGCGAGAGCTAACACGGAAGAACCTTTTGATGGTGGCAAATGTCTCGAAAAGATCAAAAAGTATTGCAATTTGAAAAGACCTGAAATGCTGACTTCTACTGGCATGAGACATCACATAGCAACCATGTCACAGGTACATTCGAAACAAAATGATCAGTATACAGAGCATCTGGCAGGGTTTTTAGGACATGATTTGACGGTTCACGCAAAAAATTACAGATTGCCTATGCAGGTCTTACAAAAAGCGGTTGTTGGGACACAATTGATAGAGTATGAAAATACAATTAGATCACAAAATAAGATAAAGACGGTTACTTCACAGTCAGAAATTATCATACGAAACCAAGAAAATGAAAATCCGATTGCGGAGTTTGAAAACACACATACATCACAAACAAATCAAAATAATATAGAAATAATTACTTCTCAACACCAAAACAAGGACAGTCCTGACAGCTGTTTTAATAAAAAGGAACTAACATTAGATACAACCAAAAATCTCAACAGAGGCAACAAAGATCTCATATTCATAAGTAATGCTATAGTTGAAAACATCGAAAAGGATAATAAAGATACTGAATGTAAATATAAAAAACTTAAAACTATAAATGTAGAAGAAGCGCGTGAAAACAAAAAGACCGAAGTGAATAATAATGAAAATGTTAAACCAGAGAACCAAAAGTTTCCAAAAAATCGACAAAGTTTGTGAAACGAATTCAAGTGCAAGTATCTACTCAATCCAGCTCATTCTCGGACAGTGACGAAAATATTGAAGCTAACAGAGATGATAATTTAGAGAAACCTAAAATATTTCAAAAAACACGACCTACCAAAGTTTCCACAATAACTGAAAGTGAGAAAAAAGGCAAAATTAAGAAAGGGAAGAATAATACAGATGGAAGTGACAATAAAATAAAAGGAAAACTAATGAAAAAGAAGTCTAATGTAGATGAAAGTGACGATGAGATAAAAGCTAACTCTGAAAAAAAAAGAATAAAGAAACATCCTGTAAAAGTGTCCAGTTCAAGTGAAACTGAAAGTGAAGATGAGAGAATACATAGACGAAAAGTCACACATAGAAAATGGACCGACGAAGAAATAAAAGCAGTCAAGAAACACCTACATTCCTATATACAGAAAAAAATAAACCCAGGCAAAGCAAAATGTATGGCAGTTTTAAAAAAAGAACTTGTTCTTCAAAACAGAACGTGGATGCAACTTAACACCTACGTCAATAATATTTATAAAAAGAAGTAAACGATTACTTATCATTCTTCCTATACAGGCTGGAAGGAACAAAACGACGAACAAAGCGGAAACCCATAGCGAAACCATGAGATCTTTTCTCAGGAGCATGCGATCGAAATATGAACTTTATTTTTCGACTACTCATACAAAGTCTAGCTGACTTTGTATGAGTAAAATCGAAAAATAAACAAAGTGAACTTTTTAAATGGGAAGTCGAAACATAAAACTTCATAAATTCTTCATATTCCCTGGGAAAAGTTTTCCAGTTTAATAAGTAGAACCTGTTGTAGTTTTCCACTTCGTCCGTCGCTTTGTTCCACCCCCTAAGGATAACGGTTTGGTCTAATTCGTATTGACATTTTGAATCTCCTTTTGCAATTGTTCTGTGCGATTCCATGCGGCGCGCCCGGTCTCATTATTTGCAGGCGCAGCTCACCGCTGAGCTGGCGCTGGACCGCATTTTTGACAAGCGTTTGTATGAAAATGCTGTGTTCCGCGCCCGCTCAGCGGTGAGCTCCGCCTGTACATAAATGAGCCTGACTTGGCAAGCGTGGAAACCCGGCATAAAGTTCACCAACACGCATTGGGGCAGCACGGCGGACATTTCCTTGCCTTAAAACCCTCTCAGAAATTAGAGGAGGCTTGTGCCCAGCAGTGGGACGTATATAGACTTTACTTTCTTTTACTTTTATAATTATATTATATTACAGACGAAATTTTAAATAAAAATAAAAAATAAGCAACCGACAACCTCCTAGGTTGACCTGCGAGATGTCAGTCTAACAAAACAAAACAGCCCAGAAAAACAGACGTTCCAACTGATATCTAAGAACAAAAAGTTTGTTTCGTTACCTATAGTAGGTACTGTTTTCTCGCAAATGTGTTGAAAAACGTTGTATGACACACATGCGTAAATTGGGATTAGATTCGTCTACGAGTTTGTAAAAACCAACTTTCCACATAGTATCATAAGTACCAAACTATTTTTCTGTGTATTAGGAATAATTTATTTTGAGCTATAGAGGCGGTAATAACAAAACCGCAGACGTAAAAGGAAACAATGTCAGTAATTGTGTAATTAATTCAGTAATAATAATTTAATTACAAAACTTATATTTTCATTTTTAAACGTATTTATAAAAATAATTAAAATGTGATAAATAAATTGCACCAATTTCATTGGTGCCGGCGGGGATCGAACCCGGGTTCATCGCGTACTGTGATACTTACAGCGAGCGCTAAACATCTGAACTACCACGGCTCTCAATGAACATCTTATAAATAAATAAATAATCAATAAAGATTTACAAAACAGTTTAATTCTTTATTCGACGACTTTTGCGGCGGACAAACTAGGTATATTATGTAGGATTATCATAGATACCTACTGTTACTTTACCTACAACCTACAATACAACAAACTGTCACAAATCATTGCTGCGTCGTGGGTTAGTGCCCATAATGTAAACTTTAGGTAGGTACGTCGGTACTAAGTTTACGTTTAGTGATATTGAGTATACAACACAAACACACACAAACACTCACGCCTGTCACCCAGAGGGGTAGGCAGAGACTACGGACTTCCATTTGGCGCGATCCTGACACACCTCTCTCGCCTCCTTTACATCCATATATCTACGCATACAAGCTCGTCGGTTAAGGGTACTCCTAATCTGGCCCATTTTTAATGTATCGCCGATTTGGTCGATAAATCTTCGTCTAGGGCGTCCCTTCCCGACTCTGCCGTTCACTTCTGAAACATAAATTTACTTTGTCACTCTTTCCTCGTTCATTCTTTCTATATGACCAAACCACCGAAGCATTCCTTCTTTAATCTTGGTCACAACGTCATCTTGCAAACCTCACTTTTCTCTTATCATACTATTTCTCACCCTGTCATTGAGATTCAGCCCTAGCATACTCCTTAATGACCGCATTTCTACAGCATTTATTCTATTCTCATGCTTCTTCTGCCAGACCCAACTTTCACTACCATACATTAAATTAGGGACTAACACAGCACTATGAATTGCCATACGTACCTTCTTTGACACATTCTGACAACACGTAACATTATTAACGCACTTTGTGAAAGTAGTTTGTTCAGAATCGTTTACTGAATCGGTTTCTATCATTTTTAATATAGGTAATTTTTTTATCCCAAAAATAATTGAAACTACGTAATTTACAGTCACGCCTAAACCTGTACAGTCAAAACAAACTGAAATGGACCGTAACTCAAGGCAATAAGACTTTTAAAAGTGAGTTTTACTTGTATTAATACAAATTCCGTGATTCAATACAAAATAAAGAAAATTCAACCTTATTTCAAGTATGTTAAAGTCTTTACAAATACAGAGTTTGGAGTGCCTTATAAAGGTCGCGGCGGCCAGGCCACTGACCTCCCAGATCAGCTGATTTGACGCCTCTTGACTTTTTTTATGGGGATGTATTAAATCATTAGTTTACTTTAGTGAGCCAACAAGTGCCGAGGACCTTTTTGTGACGATTTTAGAATAGTGAAAAATGACACTGAATTGCTTTCTAAATTATTTTCTTTCTTTTTTAAAACGTAACCTCCACACTAGGATTTTCTCTTGTATTGTAGGGGCAGTGTACAAACATAAATTGCACAAGGTCAAACATCCAGACCCGGAACAATTATTTGTAGGCCATACAAATATTGTTCCGTGTGGGATTCGAGCCCGCGGTCCTTAGCGCTGCAACTCAATTGCTAAGCCACTGCGCCACGGAGCCGTTGTGGTCTAAATACAACGTTGCATGAGAGTTTAGGCTATCAGTAAGTTAAATATTTGATTCTAAAATTATTGTAATCTTGATTCACATCTTTTAAACACGCCGTCTTTGAATTATGTTAGTTTTAGCAGTTCAATATTATTTACAAATACAATTAAAATGTTATGCAAATTCAAAAAAAAACTAGCAAGTACCTACACCTAGCGTTCGTGGTTTTGTACGGTGACCACAACATTCTTCCGGAATTAGTATAACTAATTTAATAAATAATCAATGCATAAACATGTTTTAGTAAGAATATAATAATAATTAAAAATAATGTATTATGATTATAACATAATATACTAATTGGGGTGTCTGAGGATGCGCGTTAATTACGTTAGATTTTGTACATAAAAAAAGTAAGAACACAGGTTAGTAAGTATTTTAGAAAACAATTTATAGATAGGCTGAATTAAATATAATTATTATCTAAACATTATAAATGCGAAAGTTTGGATGTTTGGATGGATGGATGAATGGATGTACGTTACTCAATCACGCCAGAACGGTTGAAGGGATCTGGATGATATTTTGCTCAGAGATAGGTTTATATAACACATATGATACCGTTTATTCAGGTATTTCGTTTCTGTTGCATAATTTTGGAGTTACATGCGTTCGAAGCCGCTGGCAACAGCTAGTACGGACATAAACTGCGATGACTGTTCAAGTTCATTTGTCGGCGTCGTGAACTCTTGAGTGATCGCTGCATGAACACCCGGGGAAAACTCAACTTCCATCTCCAATGAGTCATATATGACTCACAGGAACGTATTAGAATAAGTTCATGAGTCACAGGTGACTCATTTCTCAATACAACTTAAGGCACATTTGTTGGTATGAACGGGACGTGATATTGTTTTAAATCATACGTGGACGTATAGTAAAAAAGCTATTGTTTACAATAATAAAAGAAAACTTCGCAATTTTTTTTAAAATGTTAATTAATTCATTAGAGCCTTTTAATAGTAAATTGCTCAACTGAAGCTATGTTTGCCAAAGTCGCCATGATTGGTGGACGGGTTTGCAACTGCAAGTTTCTATTATTTTGGAATGTTATCAGAAGTATGCTGCTGCCCATCTCATGTTTCATTTACAAATTATTAAAAAAAGCTAAAAGAGTCATTATTCCTTAAAAAAAAGGTTTCATAATTGAGCAAGATTCCCGTCTTTTAATTTGCAGTGTTCCAGCTAACTGTTACAGTGGGATTAAGCTCCAGCAACGGATACAATGTCTAATTCCCTCGAAGCGAAAGCAAAAACTGTGTGCATTTTTAAAGCGCAATTATCTTCGTTAATTATTACAAAACAAATATGATCTCATTGCGCATCTCTTATGACTGATTATTGAGTTTTTATCAGAAAGGTGCTGCTGCCCATCTCCTGTTCCGTTTTCTCTCTATCGACTCTCACAACAACCCTGTCATGATATGGGATAGAGGGTTTCTTTACGTCGCAACAACACTGCAGAATTTTCCTTCAAATTATTACACAGTTACATACGCACAGGATTTTTGCGTTTATTTAGCCACGAACAAATAACGTTTAACAAATATTGATCTTGACTGAATTTATATACTATATTCTCTTTATACATATAATAATATTATGATCATAAATCTATCTTGTCCCATAGGTATCGTAAGAACCAAGTATGGAGAACAACATAAAAAAACGTATAGCTTCTGACAGTTACCTGAATCACCACCTATTGCCAAATGTTAAATAACTAGACCGAGGTAGCTTGGAAGAGACTTCATGTGATTAGGGAAGAGAGGCACTTTACAAGTTATTTAAACAATCGTACTGTGTGTCGTCCCATGACGTCGTAAAAAGCGACGAAGAGGAACAACTCAGGATATGGACAGCAGCGTCTTCCCAATAATAACTAGAAAATAAAATAAATTACATCTGCCAGTCAGCCTGCCAAGCATGGCAACTATAGCAAATATCCCCCTTATCTATAGACTTATGTGTAACAGTGGACTATGAATAGCTGTAATAAACGAATATATGAATAATAAAACAACAATTCTGACGTGGTAGAGCCATGCTGCAGTTATATTAACAGTATAGTTGTAGCACGAATGGGTCGGCTCGATCGGGAAAGGACCACGCTCTCACAGAATACTAGCGTTAAATAGCAGCTTAATGCTGCTGTGTTTCGTATGGTGAGTGTAGAGAAACGGAGACCCTTTTTACTGGAACAG